GCACTAATTATGTTCCATTCAACCATTTCTGTACAGGGTACCAAGGTTCTTGCTCTCGCAAATAGTGGTGACATTGAACAAAGTGATAAGATACTCCGCCTCAAAAACACGTACTACATAAGCAATGCTGCTGCCATGCCTAACCAAGTATAGTGGTGATCCCCCATCCGCAAACTATAATTACATTTAGATGTTGAGTTAAAAGACTTGAATTGAGGCAGCCCCAAAATCAGAACAAATTCAGGCAACAAATGAGACAGACACTATCCTCACACAATTCTTTGACTTCTATGACTTATGCGGTTCCAAAACCCCAGTCAGTAAATAATATTAGTCTCCATTAACATAATACGGAAAATCACAATGATGTGACATCTAAACTTTTTTTTTTGTTTGCTACATTTAGATTTCATGGCCATTGTGATTCTGAGAATACCCAGAGAGTATGTCTCCGTTCCTGGACATGCCAAAACCACACATGATTTCATGCTTGTGAATGAAGAGTAAGTATGACATAGTTATTCTAATTACTTAACATTGTGTACATCAAACATTTTTACTTTCATCTTAAAAAGAATGAAACCAGTTGTGTTGACTCTTTGGGAAGATTTCACAATGAATCAAGGCCGGGATATAACATCCCTTTTAGAGAGTGGGGGACACCCAATAATTTTGGGTAAAAGGGTGACCGTTACTCCCTTCAATGGTAATGTTTATTTATCCAAAAGGTCAAGAAACATAGTAGAAAATTTATTTTTTAGTAGATGAGTTCCACCACGTTAAAATTTAAACACAACACAATAACAAAAAATATTACTGTACATATATACTTGGATGGAGAGTCAATTTGACAATATTCACCTTGGTAACAGATTTTCCTATTTATTAACCTCTTTCATGTCCTATTTGGTGACAGGGTTCATGCCGAGTCTTGTTTGTTTGCTGGAGCTTGGCGGTGCTTTCAACAAAATGGAAATTTCAACGCCTCCACCGATCAACAAAATGGAAAATTCACCATGTACCGGTATTGGTTTTCCTCTTTTTGTCGGATAACTCCCAAAAAAAATTGGCTTAATATGAACTGCTGCACTCTAATCAAAACCACACTATTACAAATAGGTGCTTAAGGCCACGTGACATTCAAATTCCACTAAACCGGCTATATTTACCATGTGAAATGCCACAGACAATGGATGGTCTTCATTCTTAAAGCCTGTTAATGTCATATTCATTGCTTTTGTACTTATTCACAATTTTTAAACATGGGAATAGCTTAGTGCACCCCTGCAATTGGTTGTTGGGTTAGGTTCTGGGTAGGGATTTTGTTTCTTACTTTGGGGCTTGGACCTGATTTTGGGTTATGTTTTGGGTTAGGTTCTAGGTTGACTTTTAACTTTAGTGTTTGACAATCAAATTTGCGTTAGGTTTGCGGGTGCAATCCGTTGGATTTTATTTTTTAGGTCAGACTCTAGGTCGTGTTTTGAGTTAAGGCAATTGCGTTTTACAGTCTTGTTTTTTGTTGTGGCTCTAAATACTATCAAAATGTTGTGGTTCTAATTACTATCCACCTCAGATTTCCAGATTCTAGGCGTTGCGTATCAGATGTGCAGATTTCTCGGTATGATTGAAACATCTTCTCTGATTCCTCGTCTTGTATATATGGATCCTTTTCTTAATAATCCCCTGCCAATTATTTCAGCATGTACGTTGGGCTATTTATATTCGATTTTGGGAGATGGGATGAGACACCATCTCCAAGATACCTCCTAGGTATAATCTTATGAGTTCTTTGGCGTGTTCTTCTCTTTGTTGTTTGTTTCTATTACTGAAAGAACGGTCATTTTTCACCTACAGGTAGGGCTGAACCTGCAACAGTTTGGAAAATTATTCTTCAGGTAATTTAAATTCCATGTATTCAAGAGTGTGATGGATCCAAAATTTTTCACCCCAAGTCCATGCCCCTTATCCTGCCCCGTACTTCCACCCCTCCCAACAATGTTTCCATTAAACTCAGCCGCAGGCACTGTCACTCAATATCCTCCTAGCCAGCAACCTACTTTAACTAATGGAGAAAGTAAAATCATGATCCAAACCCAGCTCTGATGTACCAA